AGGTCTGATGTGCCATGTGGGTCACCTCCAGGGCGCAAGGATGGAACTGGTACTGAAACAACTGCTGCTTGCTTGCAGTTCTGCGTCCCAACCCTTTGTGCCACCAGGGAGGTCCGGAAAACTCCTTTTTTTAGTCTAAAAGCTCACATCTGTAGCTTTTTATAAGGCTGTCACCATGGTGCTCTCATGAAGTGATAAAAGATGCCATTTTAGCAAAAATATAGAGGTTTTAAAATTAAATTCTCACTTTCTCTTTTATCTGTCCTTAATTGTAGTTTAAGAATTCTTTTGGCTTGTCACATACTGTTGTGGACAAAATCCAGAATAATTTATTACAGTTCCTTAAGGCAGACATGTGTCTGTATAATAAGAATACATATCTTGGTTATAGTTATTTCTTATCTTTAGTTGAAGAAATGCTTTCAAGTTTTCCCCCTGGATTTGACAAGTTTATGTGAGAAAATAAATAGGAAACTACTTAACAGCTTTGCATTTCTCTAGACTCTAAAACAATAGTAGTAATGTATTGGGAGTAATGTCATGGGAAGGAATGAAAATGTACAATTTAAATAACATTTAAAACCTGAGCATATTTGTACATCCCTAATAGATGCACATTTATTTATTGTACTTCATCTCCAGAAATGGATCTATATTCTGTTTGGCATTTTTAGTGATATCTCATGACATTCTTGTACCTCATACAAAAACTCCTAAAAGTGTTCACGGGGCCACTTGTGAGTGTGAATATTGGGAATATCAGTCACATTTGTGTCTCTTCACAGTCCCTCCATCATGCTTTGATCAGGCTGCTGAACAATCCCATTCTAGAAATTAATTGTGTGCTGGGAACAGATTCCTTGCTCAACAAGACATTCTCTTCAGTTCTTATATTCAAAATTTGTTCTATTTGCAGTGTTACCTGTCTGAATATTTAGGATCACTATTCAGATATAGCAACTACCTAATTTAGGCAATAGCAAAGTGATTTATTTTCTCTAGTCCTTGTGATATTGATGAAGGAATGAAACAGCAAAGTATAGTTCTGCTATTGTTATTTTTTTTTCATTTGTATAAATTGGGTTAGAAACAAATGAGACTATTTGAAATTCCTCAGCACTGTTTCATATCTTTCATCTGACTATATAATTCTGTTTTATTTTAATGCAGGTACAGCCTAACTATTTGGACTGGAAAAAATGATAACTACTCTGTTGAAGACTTACTTTATATTAGAGACCATTTTGATAAAAAACAAGTTTTCTATGACATCTTGGAACCACAAGACCATGAATTTAAAAAAGCCATTGGAATCAAAGTTAACTGTTAAGAAGAGGATTCTTCTGAATTATTTCATATATTTTGGTTTCATAAGCCTTCTCTGCTTTGATCTGAATTAATTGCTATCTAAATGATGATGACTGATTGATAGTCCAACTCAAACAGTCAAAAAATACATATTGAATACTTTCTTAGACATATATGATTATAATTATGTAACTACCTAAGAGATTTAGAAAGGATATTTTAGTAAGCTTAGTCTAATAATTTAGGAAAATGATGTTTTATAACCCATTTTAAAATAATTATGATATGCTGAGGATAATTAAAAGAATCTATGTCATAACATAGGTAGGTATAAGCCATATTTTGTTAGTACTGGCATTACAGAGACACTGCAAAAAAACATGGCACTTTATTTTTTTTTCCCTGAAGAACTGGTTATTTTAGAAAAAGGGTTTTGAAAATATTTTGAGCTGTCATAGGGATGAACTGCTTTTTCCTAACAAAATCAATTTAATTAGATGCATCTAGAAGTATTCTTGTTTGTTTTTTGCTTTAAGATTTATTTATCTATGGATACAGAACTGGGGTAAAGGCCAGAGGCTCAGGAATGGTTAGAGGATTCACCAGAGTCAGAATGGGGAGCAGATGGATGAAGTATACTGCTGAGAGGAGCAGCGGGTGAGACAGAAGTCTGCCTCACCATGTGGGGGTCACCTCTGGGGTGGGGGATCGAACTCGCACGGAAGGGGCTGCAGCCAGCTTTGCAATGCTGTGCTCTAAACCACTTCACCACTAGGGAGATCCCAGAAGTATTCTTGCTTCTGTCATCGTATCTTATGTATAGTGAGAAAAATATTGTTGGGTACTAGGATTTTAACCTTGCAAGTTGCCATTTGATTTTCAAGTTTCTTGTCAGTACCTCCTTATTCTATTGGTAGAATTTTGAAGTTGGTTCTTCATGACTTCCTTATATTCTACTCAGAGACATTCTTGAAAATTTCTGCTAAAGAAAACTTTTAAATATCCTTTTCTTAGTGCCAAGTCAAAAACCTCTAGGGGCTTCTTAAATCAACTTTATTGAATTTCACTCTTTTAAGATCCTTCATAATGTAATCCAACTCTAAAAGTCCTCCAACACAGAGTCTTCATTTCAAAGTCTTATAACCTCAGCGTTCTCTAAATTTTTCTTTAACAGTTTATTTTATACTGTTCACACTTGTGTCATGCATGTTAATTATTTCTCAGCTAAATTATAAAGTCCTTCATAGTAAGGGAACATGCTTAATTATGTTTTCACAATGCCTGGCATAGTTGTGAACAAGACATTCAGAAAAACATGTTGCTGCTTTGCTTTATTGAAAAGCAATTTACCAGTGAATGTCCTACAATATGTAATTTGCCTTTTGTTTTCAGCCATTTTTTCTTAGAGGATAAAGTAACTTTATATAGAGAAATGAGCTTGGGGCTTTGAAACCAGAAAGATTTCCTTTACAGCCCTATCTCTGCCCCTTACTAGCGATAAGTTTTGGGAAATATTTAACCTTGATAAGTCTTAGATTTCTCATCTGTAAGATGGGGGGGAAGGGAGATTTCCTTTTTAGGGTTGTTAAGATTAAGGGAGATTCATGTAATGGACACATTTAGCTCAATGTCCAGTGCATAGTAAGGGCTCAATAGCTGATGTTTATTTCCTTTCTTTTAGATTTATCATCTGATTCTATGATACTAATAGATAGGTAGGAAGGTAGTAAGTAGGTGGACAAACACTAAGGCATATGACATGAAATGCTGTAGACACATATATACTTAGAGCGATTGTATTTCTATTTAAAATTTTAATTCTAATTGAATGCAGTATTATTTGTCAAATAAAACTTAACATTTTATGGCTTACCAAAAGTTAAAGGTGCAGTTTCACCATTGTAAAGTTTTATAGTTGCAACAAAGAATAACAACGTACAGTAAAAGTTAATATTTAATTTATAAACTTTATAAAATGACCACATGTTACTTTTTATATAGCTGAATTTATAAATGAACTGCATTTGGTGAAATTTGAAATCAAATTCATTTATCCAGAAATTTATCTTTACTACTTGATTATCTCTCCATTGGTAGTATTTTAAAAATATTGCTCTTAGGACAGAATTGTTCTCAGTAGAAACTTGGAAGGGAGGGATGGGGCATGCAGCCAGCCCATGTCTGATATGCTGAGGCAGTACAAAAAATTCAGAGGGGATTCCTACCTCCAGGGTCTTCTGGTCTAGTGTGATGAGAGACCGGTAAACAGTAATGTGGATATTTGCTCTGAGTCCTATGATGGATCTAGACACAGGTTGTCATGAGAGACAGCAGTCTGTTCTAATTGGGAGAAAACTCTTAAGTTGTGTCTTGAATAATTAGTAAGATCTGCCAGGTGGACTTAAAGAAGAAAGGTGGGTTAAACTGTTGATGAATCATGTTCGTGACATCAACTATAGAGGAATAAATAAGAGTAAAAGAACTCTGAGGGAGAGTCTGATGTGACCTGTTCAAAAAAATCAGTAAGCACATACAATGAGAGGCCATTTAAGGGCCTGCTTCATTTCCTGCGCCAAGGAGTTTGCTCCTTTTCTTTTAGACTGGGAGTCTGGCTAAACAGGTCAGCATCAGTTTTGAGTGTTAGAAAGGTGATTACAATGACATGAAAATGAGGAAATTAGTTAAAAGATGTGTAATTCTCAAAGTGAAAGGAGATGAAGTCCTGAATTGCAGTGGTAGCCAAAGGGGATGGAAAAGGCTCAAGAAGTACAATGAAAGGGAATAAGGATGAACTTGTAAGAGTTTTTAAACCAGTTGAATGAGAAGAATGGGGAAAGGGAAGAGTGACAAAAGTAACATGCTTTGGCTTGGATGATAGGGTCTGGTGATGCCATTGACCCGAGCAGGGTGAGACAGAGCTCAGCTGTCATTAGGTTTCTCAGTGATTTGTTAATATTGCCACTTCATACTTAGTTGGAAAGAAAAATGAAAACTGCCTGCCCCCTAAACTCACTCCACTTAATTTTGGAAAAGATGTTCTTTTATTTAATTCTACCAGTTTCTTAACACTCCACTCAAGTAATGGTCACTTCACTACATACTTTAAATTTTCATAACTTTAAACAATAAAATTGCTCCCCAGATCACACCATTAAAGAGATAGCAGACCAGAGGAACTCTTCTAGGGAGGCTCTATTGTTTCTGTTCATAGAAGGGATCACTCTCACTAAATCTGGCCACTGAGCTGTTGTGGGTGTGGTGACTGCTATAGAAGCTTCATTAAGGTGGGTGCTTGTTCTGTTCTTTTTCCCTTGCTTGTGGTGAAAGAATATAATAAGAATTCAAAAAATATTAATAGTGGGTTAAACTGTTGATGAATCATGTTCGTGACATCAACTAGCAGTCATACTCTTCAATGCCACACAATTTAAAAAGAAAAAGACAAGAATGTCATTAATTATTGAGCAAGTGATACTAATTTTAGTAAGTCTTGACTTTGCACACACCTTTAAATATTCTGTGTGACAAAATGAGAGGTAGTGATAGACTAATTCTGCTGTAAATTGAAATTCAGCATTTGTCTGAAAGAAAAGCACTTGTTTGCAAATGGAATTAGCCATTTTTTTTTCATGAAAAAATATTTACTTGAAAGAAAAACTGACAGACTAAGCATTCATTCTTGGATACTTGGCAGATATTTTCTCATAAATGAACAAAGCAAGCATGTCTCCTCAAGGAAAACAGCTGACAATATCTATTGCCAAGGATAAACCTGAGCTTTTACTTGAAAAATTGGAATTTGAATAAACCTGAATCCATCATTAGAGCTTAACAGTTTCCAATAATTAAAGACTTCTTTGCTATCAGTGGTAATATTAATAAATTAATACTTTTAAATGTTATATAATGAAATTTGTCAACATTTGGAAGATCTGCGTGACTGTCAATATCTTCCAAATGACTAGTATGTATATTACTATAAAAAAATTGGAATCCCTGCCTTCTTCCTTCTCGCCGAACGCCGCCAAGATGGTGTTCAGGCGCTTCGTGGAGGTTGGCCGTGTGGCCTACGTCTCCTTTGGTCCTCATGCCGGGAAATTGGTCGCGATTGTGGACGTTATTGATCAGAATAGGGCTTTGGTTGATGGTCCCTGCACGCAGGTAAGGCGACAGGCTATGCCTTTCAAATGCATGCAGCTCACTGACTTCATCCTCAAGTTCCCACACAGTGCCCGGCAGAAGTATGTGCGACAGGCCTGGCAGAAGGCAGATATTAATAAAAAATGGGCAGCCACAAGATGGGCCAAGAAAATTGAAGCCAGAGAAAGGAAAGCCAAGATGACAGATTTTGATCGTTACAAAGTCATGAAGGCAAAGAAGATGAGAAACAGAATAATCAAGCTTGAAGTTAAGAAGCTTCAGAAGGCTGCTCTTCTAAAAGCCTCTCCCAAAAAAGCTGTAGCTGCTAAGGGTGCAGCTGCAGCAGCTGCTGCGAAGGTTCCAGCAAAGAAGGTGACTGCTGCAGGCAAGAAGGCTCCAGCCTCGAAAGCTGCAGGACCGAAGACTGCGCCTCCTAAGGCCCAGAAGGGTCAGAAAGCTCCCGCGCAGAAGCCAGCTGCTCCAAAGGCATCTGGCAAGAAAGCGTAAGGGCATAAAAGGCTGTTATAAAAGCAATAAAGGTTCTTTTTGACAAAAAAAAAAATTGGAATCCCTAGAAAGTGCAAGACAGAACAATGAGATTTAGTGTTACAACATGAAAATTCATTAATGTGATTTCAGACTTCATATGATAGCTTACATTTTAAGAACCTAACATTTACCAAGTTTGGGCATAGTATCAAAGAAAACTATCCACAATTATCTGGGAAGTCTACTATTTTTTTCCTTTTCTAATTACATATTGCTGTGAAGCCATATTATCTTCATATGCTTCAACTAAAACATTTTACAGTCAATTGCAGAAACATGGAGCAAAATCCAGTTGTTTTCTATTCAGACAAACAAAGATACTTGCAAAACTGTGAAACAGTACCACTTTCAGTAAATATACTTTGGAAATGTAGCTATTTTTCATAAAATACTCACGTTACATCTTTGATTTGATGGGAAGTCCACAGTGATTACCACTGAGATGAAGAAAAAGGACAAAAGAAGAATGATGTAAAAAAATTATAAAATATTCATGTAACATGTATTGGACTTTTCAAAAAAAATTTTATATTTCTCAGCTTTAATTTTAAGGTTAATGGCATTTCTGCTTTATGTATGCTAAACTCAAAGCTATAAAAAGAATGGTAACACATTGAAATGCATTTTGTATCTAAATATATTTAAGTCTTAAAAAATAGTGTTTTTATTTTTTTAAGATTTATTTATTTATATATACAAGAACTGGGGCACAGGCCAGAGGTGCAAGAGGTGTGAGGATTCACCAGAGACAAGAGTGGGCAACGGAAGAGGCAGATTAAGTGGAATATACTGCTGAAGGTAGAGCTGGCTGTCAGGAAAGGTCTGCCACACCGTGCGGGTCAGCTTCCTGGCTGGGGATCAAACTGGTGCTGCAGTGGCTGCGGAGAGCTCATCGTGCTGTGCTTTAACCCATTGTGCCACCAACGATTCTTAAATTGAAAAAAAGCCATGTCAATGTAAAAGTGTAGTTTAGAGAGTATAAAAGTCATATGTGGAATAAGAGGAAAAACCACAACCACAAAGCAGTTGACAAAGTTAATACAAATCCTAGAGAGATGACTGCAGAATTAATGCTTCTAGAGGAAAAAAGAACAGGGGTGGGAGCAGAGCAGGGAGGGGGCCAAAGGGCCCAGGGTAAAGGTCTATGGGTATTGTGGGTGGTGTGGTGCACACATCCGATGAGGGGTAAGCCTGTTCCCTTAAATCATGAATAATCTTGTAAATCAATAGTACCGCAATAAATAAAAAATTCTGTAAAAAATTCAGGTAGAATAGACATACATTTTGAGTTAAAAGGGATGTATAAAAATGAATGGCCCACTTAGAACTTTGTTGGGTAAAGAATTAAAACCTTTTCTTTTTTTACTTATTAATCAGATGAATGTTTTCTAGTTCCCAAAAGTCCTTGTCTTTTGTTTATGATGAAGATATCAAGCAATAAAATATTACAGTACTTACTAGATGCTAGATGCCAGGCACTATTCTTTTTTTTTTTTTTAATTTAAAGATTTATTTATTTATGCATACAGAGCTGGGATACAGGCCAGAGGTTCAGGGGTAGTGCAGAAACAGAGTGGGGAGCAGAATAGGCAGATCAACGAAGTATACTGCTGAGGGAAGTAGCAGGTGGGTGGGCCAGGAGAGGTCTGATGTGCCATGTGGGTCACCTCCGGGGTGGGGATCGAGCTCATGCTGAAGTGACTTTAGCTTCTGAGTGCTGTGCTTTAACCCAGCCAGGCACATGTGGGGCCTCCCTGCTGGTCTATGGGTAAGTCTCAAGTACTACCACATTGAAGGCCACCACAGTGACCTGAGTTCTATCCTGGGCCAGGGAGCAGACCCACATGGCACAGCAGACCTCTCCTGTTTCACTCACTGGCCCCCTCAGGAGTGTATATCAGTCAATCTGCCTGTTTTGCTCCCCACTCTTGTCTCTAGTGATTCCTCTCAACCCCCCACCTCTAGCCCACACCCCAAGCTGAATGCCTAGATGCCAAAGCTACTTTTATGAGTTGGAGCTCTGTGTGTAAGGCTACCTGTTCTTGTTCTGGTAATAATTATATTATTTCTGCACCATATCTTTCATTTTGATCCAACTGATACTACTTTAGGTACTATTTTTGTCAGAAATTTTGGATGCTACTGATAGACTCCTACTCAAATAACTCAAAGGAGATTAGGGAAGATGGTATCATAAGGAAACATACCCAGAATATTTAGGAAAAAGCTGAACATCTAAACATCAGAAAGAGCAAGAGCATTGGAAGGTCATGCACGCTAATGTGCCATTGAACAAATTCAGATTATTGAAAGTTCTGTTGACTCATCCCAGTTTGTGCCTTAGGTCACTTGTCCATTTTTGGTCCAATCACTGTTGAGATCTTAAACTTCCTCTTCCAATAGCTATGGGCAGAAATAGAAGTACCTGGTGGTGTGCTTCAATCCTTCATTTGTAGGGTTTCAGAACTCTTAGTGGTCTTGCCCATGTGTTATTGAGATAGCCTACATTTAGCACTGGCTCTGAGAAAATAAGGTGCTCTAGTGAGTTCCTCAGAATTCACCTGTGTTCCTTTTAGCTCCTTTTTGTAGTTCTGAGAATCACTTCAACCAATGTCATGACCCCCTTTTTGGCTATGAAGGAGCCTAGAATAATCAGGTGGTTATGTTTCCACTGCATCCAGTGAGGGAAATTTTCTTTGCTGTCACATTCTTTATATTAAAGGACCCAGCGTTGCAGGCATACAGTAACATTTTTTTAATTGACAAGAAGATATATTTTGAAATCTTTTGCCTGACAATCAAAATTCAATTTTGTGTCACTATGACCAACATTTAATGAATGTGAAAATAAAGTTTAGAAGTCATGTAGATAATTGAAATTCCAAAATAGGAAGGTAGGGTAAGAAGGTTTAAGATTGACTAGTTTGAATTTCAGTGGACTCTTGGGTGTAGGAGCTGTCTCCAGTTTTCTGTTACCCAAACTCAGATAGTTTGGAGTAATTAGGGTTAGGGCAAAGTGGCTCTGAATATAAAAGCCGTGGGAGAGTCTCATAAACAAATGGTTGCCAAATGGACCAGGAGTGGCTGATTTGTATATGGAAGCTGTTTTCTATCGCTGGAAACTGGCAAATTATGGGAGGTTCAGTCCCTCTAATGTTAGAAAGTCCCCAAGGTAGGAAAGCATCTGAAAATACAGAGAGAAAAACATCAATACAAATATCATTATTCTGAGAAGTTTGTTTTTATTTCTTTTTGAGAATCAAATTAGCAGGAAGTGATGTAGTGTGTGGTTAATAAGTGTAGTTTTATCATTTGAGATTTGAAAATGTTCAGGTTCTAGATGCCTAGTGGGTGCATCTTTGACGGGGAAGTAGGTGCCAAGTAGGTGTTCACCTCCAGGACTGCTTCGATCGACCCTGTTTACATTTGTCTAGGTGGGCTAGTTCTATGTCCTCCACAAAATCACCCTTGCCATGACTCTGTTAGCTCTTTGGAATTCCTGACCATAAGAACTAAAAATGTCATCTGTGAAAATAATGAATTCAGTGTCATCAAGACTTTAAGGTAAAGTTTGATCATATTTTTATATTAAGTCATAGTATATATAACATAAATGTACATATCAGATTCCTGTTGCAAACATCTGATTTACTATTGGAATCCCAGTGTTATATTCTACTTCATGAAATGAAAAGTCCCATTGGATGTCATTCAACCAGTCTCAAACAGCTTCTGCTCCTAGTCTCTTTAGGATTGTTAGAGGATTAAAATTTTTCCAAATATAGCCAATAAAATTTTAATCAATCCCATTAGCCGTTCTCTATGTTGCACAATTTCTCTTGAAATATCATTATTATTTGATATAAACAAAAATCAGTGAAAATCAAAGCCATTTAAAATCTTTATTGATATGTCTATTTATATGCATGTATTCACATATTCTTCAAACTGAATCCTTACAGATTAAAGCCAAGCACTTTTCTCAAAATTAAATCTTGCAGAAAGGGTTTAATTATCTATAAGCATCACATACAATTCTAAGTTCTGAATCAAAAAATGTTTCTAATATAGTTAATATTACTGTTCTTCAAAATATTTCATGAAAAACCTCCAACTATTTTTTTCAAATAAAAGTCACAAGAAATTAAATAATTACTATGTACATTACAATTTGCTTATATCAAATTACCAAGAAAAGCATCATGCCAATTACTAGGATCTCTTCTATGACAAAGAAAAAAAGAGTTTTCATGTGACAATCATCAACTCACTCTGGCTTTGTATAGTTTGATTTATTCTTTGTTTTAAACTTCTAGATTGAAATAAGGATTCATTGTATAAACACCATATTTTGAAATCATATCAATAATAGTTATTTTATAGTATCTTAAGATAATAGTGTGGTATTCATTTATTTTGCTAGGATTTATTCACAAGTCCTAAAATACTAGATGATTTGAATGTCACTTAAGGAACTTATTCTTTTATGTATTATATCAGTGTCTAATAATTACATAAGAAATGAAAGACATTATTTAATATTGACCGAATATTCAGTATATTTTATAATTAGGTTTCTACTGGTTTTCTTAATTTTAGCTAAGCTAAGATTATCTAATGATAGTTTTTCTTTTTAAAAATATAGCAAGCACTTAGATTCTATTTGTGATAAATTTCAATCTTTTTTAATGTCCTTAGAAAGGCAAGAATAATTTGATATAAGTAAAGAGGAATGCTTTATAACTTTTTCATTATCTTACTGGGAATTTATGGATAGGCTTAAAAAAAACAGGGAATAAAAGATACAGAGAAAGAATTACATATGACATAAAAAGTTTGTTTAAAATAAACGACAAAAAATAGCATACAAAGCCTTGGCCATATATTACTAATTTTAAAACTCTGAGCTGCCATGTAGACACTGATTAAGTTACTAATATTAGCCACTCAGATGATTATGATTGTCTTTTTTGAAATTTTAATTAGATTTTCATCTACCTGCAGTCAACATTTTTTAAGAACTAGTCCATTCTTTCTTGTAGTTAGGCTTATCGATCGTATTGTATTTCATAGCTGTCAGTGTTTTATGCTTTTGACATCATGGAAAATTACAATTATTTATTGACCTGGTATGCGAAAATACATTTAATGACTTGTACTCAATGTTTTCTAGCAACATTAATGGCAAATCTGAAAAAAATTGAAATTTATCTTTGTATATGTGAGCTTTGTTGAATTTTACTTAAATTAACATCAGATAGATTGTTAAATATTGGAGGTTTTGAGAAAAGCAGCTTTAATTTTGACAGAATTCCTTAGCAGAAACTATATGTTTTGTGTGTGTCCACAGTGTTTAGTACAATACACAGTACAACATTTGTGATGTCTTTTCTAGTCCTAGATTTCTCTGATATAGAGATTTGAACAAAAATGTGTTTTCTACCATGTCTTAAAAATTAACTAATTGCTTAATTTGTTCTGTTTGCAATGACTGTCTCCTTAACAACATTTTTTTACTTTTGAATTCTTTAGGGAAAATAGGAACTGTTGGCATAAGCACTTTTTGACCACAAGAAAGAAGGCTGGAAATCTTGTTGTTGGCATTGATATCTGAGAAGGGAGGGTGAGGGTTCACATTTAAGGGTGGCAGAAATCCTGGTCTGGTTTGCATGATACTGTGATCTAAAGGGAAAGCTCCAGAACCTCGCCTTTCTAAAACTGCATGATTTCTCCTGCTCAGGGGGCCTGGGGGCATATTTTCCAACACTTCTTTGGACCCTGACAACAAAGAAGGAGCTGGTGAGAGGATCTTTTTCTTTCCTATAACTGCTTTGCCATCTTCTAAAGTTGTGGGGGTAAGACCAGCTGAGAGCTGGGAATCGGAGCTATAGTGATTTGCCCCGGAGTTTCTTTTTTGAACAATACTTTTTAAGGTGGAAACAAATATGGTCTGATTAGAGTCTGGGTCCTGGTCAACAGGCGTATCAATGCATTGCTGACTTCCTTCCGAAAAAAGAGACTGAAAATTTATTTCATCATATGACATCTTTCTTGAGCTGGCCTGATCAAAGGCTCGGAGCAAATGTGCAGTGTCCTTCACATCAATGCTTTGGTGTCTAGTGATGAATCGCTTGGAAAGTGCCAGTCCGTTGGTTTTGTAGGATAATTCTTCTTCTGGAGTGATATCCTGGAGCTCCTCTTGCAAGGAGGCCACTCTGTTCTGGTGCATTAATAATGGGGTACTCTTGACCCAGGATGTAGCCTGGGGTAGCTTGGGTCCAGTAGGAGCCAGAGACGGTTTTCTCACAGGGGAATCTGGGTCCCATGTACCATCACTGCTTCCTGAAGGTTCCAGATCTTTAAAGCTAAAAAGTGTCATGTCAGTTTCAGAAGAATGTGAAAGGGGCGATGTCGCTGTTTTTATTTCTATTTCTGAAGGAGTAGCACAGGTGGCTGGGGAGGGACATCCATCTGGATCAACAGGAGGCATATTTAAGTACTGTTTGGTAGTGTGCCTGCCAGAGGGCGATTTTGCTGTGGTTATGATAATGACTTCTTTCCCTTTGGCCTTGCAAGCACTAAGTAGAACTTTCAAGGTTTCTCTATCTTCTGAATTTATAGCATAAACGAGGGCTGAGTAACTAGAATGGTCTTGCAAGCTGAGGTCAGCTCCACTCTGTAGGAGCAAAGAAACAACTTCAGGACCAGCTTTTTCTAAGCAAGCATGCATCAGAGCAGTTTTCCCAGATTTGTCCTGGATGTTGGGGTCAGCATTGTTCTCTAACAGGTATTTAACCATTTTGGCCTTACTGACACTCTGGGGATCAACGTGTTTGGTCTTACAAGCGATCATTAAAGGTGTTTCCCCGCGGTCATTGCTCTCGTTAATGTAGGCACCCCCTTCTAGCAAGAGTCTTGTGAGGCGAAGCCGGCTCTGATGGACTGCTTTAATCAGGGAGTTGCCATCACTTGAAATTTCTAGACCTTCATCCATCTTCAAAAGTCAGAAATCAATACCTGGTTATCAAAGATAATGAAGAGCAAAAGATTAGCCAGAATCAGTACCCCAATTTATATTCATTTTGCTAGTTACAATTAATTTCTGAAACATATTGAGAAAGACAATCTAAATGAGATAACAGTATTAATAGCAAGAGAACCAAAAAGGGCATCAAAATAAAAGAAATTTTAGAATAGCAACAATCTTTAGAGAATTACAAACTAAAATTTACTATCAAAATCTTGGAATACTTATGATATAATAACAATGTAGCATTTCATAAATCTTACATTAATTAAATTAAAGAAAAACTGCTTGTTTTCTACTTGTGAAAATATTTTTTTAAATGCTAGGATGCAAATTTAAGCAAAAAAAAAAAGCCAAAATTCTGTGTAAATGCAATTTAAATAAAATAGATTTATGATAACTGGATGTAAAAACTTCTTAATATGTAAAAATTGCTAAATGTGCTTTTCAGTTAATAATACAATAATATTTAGATTCTCAATTTGAGAACATTCTGTCCTTTTTAAAGGATGAAAAATTATTGGACCATATGATATTAAAATAACTGATACAGTTCCTGGAATTCATACTGAGATAGGCATAGGTGAGCATGTAGTTATGCATTTTTCTTGATTTCATTGCTTAAATCATATACTGATTAGATTATGGGATTAACAGACATTGTTAGGTTAATTTTGACAGCAGTACATTGGCTCTGAAAAGTAAAATTTTCCAGGCTTGACATCTGAGTGAAGACATATAACCTTAATAAACATTTTATTTTTTATTATGGAAGCTGAAATTATTTATATAATTTATATATATGTGAGCGTGTGTGTATATAATTTTTAAAATAGTTTGACTCAGTCTCTTTCTACAGACAATACCATTAAGTGATCAAAGTCATATCTGGGGGCCCTCCATGGTGGCTCAGCAGGTTAAAGCACTGCACTAAGGAGCTAAAGCCACTTCCGCATGAGTTCCAATCTCCGCCTGCCCCGGAGGTGACCACATGGCGCGGCAGACCTCTCCTGACCCGCCTGCTGCTCCCCTCAGCAGTGTACTTCGTCGATCTGCCTGTTCTGCTCCTCCACTCTGTTTCTGCTGAAACCTCTCACCTCCCCTGCACCTCTGGCTTGTACCCCAGTTCTGAATGCATAAATAAATAAATCTTTTTAAAAGTCTTATCTGTATCCAGAGCTGAGGAAATGGATACCTTTTAACATTAGTTATACTGGGGAGAAGAATCAAATGGAAGTTTTGGTAATATTTAAATCTAGTACATTTCGTTGGGTAGCTTTTAGAAAGCAAGAATTATTATTTATTCTACTCACTTTTAATATTAAGAAGATGGCACATGAATTTCTACCGGGATTAGCATCAATAACAAATATAATGACCTCTTAACAGAAAGAAGAGAGCACAAAGAAAAAGAGGAAAGCTAGAGATGTACATTAAGGAAGTCCAACCATTCAGCAACTGTAAGTCCTTAATATGTGCTGGGGCACTGAGCTAGAAAGGCATAATCGGCAGTTGTAGGACACTCACAGTTGTTTGGAAGAGCTCCTGTGTAAGGGCTGACTCTAAGTTAAAGGCATGAAAACCCACAGGCTTTAATGACCTAGGGACTCAAGTTAGAAAGCAGAAGGCCCGATTGTTTCTGATTTAGCCAACCTGGAAAAGCTGGTGGTAGAGCTGAGAACTCAACCAGTTATCTCACTTCAGAATCCTTGAAGAAGGCAGCAGGAAGTGGGGAGAGTGGGGAAGAAAGGGTGTTGGAGGGAAGGGAAGGGAGAGAGAGAGAAAGAGAGAACTAAAATAAAGAGGACTAGGTGAAAGGCTGTTAGAGAGCAGTTAGCAACTCCAAGTGTGGAGTAGTAACAACAGCAATAACAACAGCAGAATCTCAGGCTCTACCCCAGACCAAAGGAATTAGAGCCTACATTCTAAATAGACCTATCTCAATATATACATACATATATACATACATGAACACAACAGAAGCGGGTGCATACTGTCTGTTCCTCTCCCCCCCCTCCACTCAAGCAACATTCTACAAAAGCTATTCATTTCAGAATCAGCATATACATACCTGCAACTCAGCAGTTTAGGAATTAAGGAATGGGTGACAGTTGGGCACAACTCAGAGGCCTATTCTGATTGTAGAGCATCTGAAAAGAGATCGTGTGATAGTGATCATAAATGAATTTTCTTTTAGTATTTTCATATATAAACAGATTGGTTTTGAGAAATCACCTGGAATATCAAGTACAGAAACCACTTAGCAATTGCAGTTCCAGAAGAGATACAATGTCGGTAATGTACAAACATGGTTTCAATATTATATTCTTAAATAGTTTCTAGTATTGAGGTCATCTTGTTTTTGTTTTTTATTTTAATCTTGTAAGAATGGTTTGACAGACAGCCCACTAATTGGGAAAACATTTTCTCACACAAAAGTAGCGATAAAGGACTGATCACAAAAATATACGGAGAACTGATGAAACTCAACAAAAATAAAGTAAACAACCCCATCAAAAAATGGGCAGTAGAGCTAAAAAGACACTTCTCCAAAGAGGAAATGCAGATGGCCAACAGGCATATGAAAAAATGTTCAACATCACTCGTAATAAGGGAGATGCAAATTAAAACCACAATGAGATACCACCTCACCCCAGTGAGAATGGCACATCTTCAAACAACTAGCAACAAAAAATGTTGACAAGGATGTGGAGAAAAAGGAACTCTCCTGCACTGCTGGTGGGAATGCAAACTAGTACAACCACTATGGAAAACTGTTTGGAGGTTCCTCAAACTGCTAAACATGGAGCTTCCCTACGACCCAGCAATCCCACTCCTAGGTATCTACACAAAAGACACAAAAACACTGATTCAAAAAGACACTTGCACCCCCATGTTTATTGCTGCTTTAGTTACAATTGGAAAAACATGGAAGCAGCCCAAATGCCCAAAAGTAGATGACTGGATTAGAAAGATGTGGTACATATATACAATGGAATATTACTCAGCAACCAAAAAAGAGAAACACATGTCTTTTTCAGCAACTTGGATGGAGCTGGAAAAGATCATGCTTAGTGAGAGAAGCCAGAAAGAGAAAGAAAAATACCGGATGGTTTCACTCATAGCAGGAGTATAATGGAGCAGGCGAGAAAATAACAAAAATAATGAACAACCATATACCAGAGACATTTTGCGGGGGTGGAGTGGGGAATGGGATCAAAAACGGGGGTTGGGGAGGGAAGTGCACGGGATTATGGTGATGGCACATGGGTGACTTGGTGATGGGAAACCCGCGGGGATTACAATTGAGATGGAAAAAAAAATGTACAAAATTATGTAAAAACAAACAAACAAACAAAAAAAGAATTGTTTGAAAGCCTTTCAAACCTCATGTAAAGGCCCATCTCCACAACACTAAACCTGACCACTTTTTGTGATAACCTTCTCTCATCATGTTGGTACCAGAATGTTCTAGAAGAAGGAACACTGACAATGTATTTCAGTATACCTGAAGAGGGGCTGGGGTAAAGGAAGTCATATGCTCCAGAGTCAGAGAAGCCAGGCAGCCCCCCTAGACTGTAGTAACTAGCAAACGCACCTGCCATGTGGATGTCGCGGGGACCCAGCTCCAGCGCTAGAGCACTGTCTAACAAAGACAACTCCATGAAGTTTGCTCTGTTCATTGTAAAGCCATCCAAGACCATGGGATTGCTCAATTTTCAATGTGGTCGCATTCAGCAGAGAAAATTTTTTTTTTTTATTTTACAACAGTTTATTTTTACATCATTTTGTACATTTTTTTTCCATCTCAATTGTAATCCCCGTGGGTTTCCCATCACCAAGTGACCCGTGTGCCATCACCATAATCCCGTGCACTTCCCTTCCCATCCCCCTGTTTTTGATCCCATTCCCCACTCCACCCCTGCAAAATGTCTCTGGTATATGGTTGTTCATTATTTTTGTTATTTTCTCACCTGGTCCATTATACTCCTGCTATGAGTGAAACCATCCGGTATTTTTCTTTCTCTTTCTGGCTTATCTCACTAAACATGATCTTTTCCAGCTCCATCCAAGTTGCTGCAAAAGACATGAGTTTCTCTTTTTTGGTTCAGCAGAGCAATTTTTAATTGTGTAAATACCTTTTAGAGAAAAACGTCAGTTACTTTAGTCTCTATGTGTATACACGTTTGGTATCTCGTGTTGTAATCCGTGACTTATCGAAATCATCCCCTTTGTAACTTCCTCCTCTTTTAATTTGTTCTTTTTTTTTTTTAAGACTTATTTATTTGTGCATACAGAACTGGGGTACAGGCTAGAGGTGCAGGGTCAGTGAAAGGATTCATCAGAGACAGAGTGGGGAGCAGAACAGGCAGATCGTCCAAGTCCACTGCTGAGGGGAGTAGCGGGCGGGTCAGGAGAGGTCTGCCATGCCATGTGGTCTCCTCCGGGGCAGGCGGGGATTGAACTCATGCTGAAGCGGCTTTAGATTCTTAGTGCTGTGCTTCTACCTGCTGCGCCATCAGGAAGGGCCCTTAATTTGTTCTTTTACCTTGCCTCATCCTGTTATACTTCAAAAATGTTGATATTGAAATTGGACTTCACAGACATAAGCCCTACATGTGATGAAGACGCTTCACCTGTCTACAATTATCCTTATTCCCAAATATAATTTCCTCTGGTTTTCTCCTATGAAACATCCCCCTGGGAAGGTCCCAGGACTGGCCCCGAATTAATGTGAATCAACCGATGGTTATGGTTTAGTTCAAAAATGATTACAAAGTTCAGTGCAACTTCCAAAGAGCTAACAGTTCAGGTGAAGAAGGCTGGGGGTCATATAGACCCCAATCTATTCACCCTACTCTCCACTAGTTGAATGCCCTGGTCAAATCTCTGTCTCAGCCTCCATGACTGTGGAAGGAGTATCACAGGACATTCATGTCCTGAAGGAAAGGTTATGAAATCTGACAATGTTCAGAAACAGACTTGGTGTTGTGCCCTGCCACTACCACTCACTCATTGCATTCTTTTTTTAATAATTTGATCCCAAATTTAATCTGCCTTAATTTTAATCATGTCTTTATCCATAGTCTATTTATTTTATTTTTTAAAGGTTTATTTATTTATGCATACAGAGCTGGGGTACAGGCCAGAGGTCAGGGGCAGTGAGAGGATTCACCAGAGACAGAGTGGGGAGCAGAACAGACTGACTGACGAAGTACACTGCTGAGGGGAGCAGTGGGCGGGTCAGGAGAGGTCTGCCACGCCATGTGTTCACCTCCGGGGTGGAGATCGAACTCATGCTGAAGTGGCTTTTAGCTTCTTAGTGCTGTGCTTTAACCTGCAGCACCACCAGGGACGGCCTAATCCATAGTCTATTTTAAGATCTCTAAATAATGGTTTGTAAACATAAATGGAATCTAGTAAGTGAAGTATGGACAGAAGACATCCATTAAGTGCATTTCCTTATAATTTCCAAATATAATAATTTCAACATTATTATAAGATTAATTTTAAATAATGGGATGAATTTTTAAATTTAATTTTTTTAAGAATTAAAATTATTTTATCATTGGGATGTCTTTAATATCCTAGGGCATGTTTACTATGTACTCTATTAGTGTCTCTCTTTACTCCCAAGGCCCCACTAAAATTACAGTTTAGTTATTATTTTTTCAAAGGTTTATTCATTCATGTATACAAGAGCTGGGGTGTGAGCCAGAGGTGGGAGGTGTGAGAGTATTCACCAGAGACAGAGAGGGGAGCAGAACAGGTAGATTGAAATACACTGCTGAGGGGAGCATCGAGAAGGGAGAGGTTTGCTGTGCCATGTGGGTCAGCTCCCTGGCTGGAGATTGAACTTGTGCTACAGTGGCAGCAGATAGCTTCATAGTCCTGAGACTTAAGCCCCTGTGCCACCAGGGAGACCCAATTATAGTTTCATTATTAAGATATTTTAAAAATATATCTAACTGAAGAACAAAGAAAAGTGGAGGAGAGATAACGGATGAGTAATTTCCATCAAGCACCGGAAACAGTGGGATGGTGATGCGGTAAGTGGCCTCAGCACAGCAGAGGTGGGAACACAGAGCACAGGCAGGGTACCAGGCGCCAAGGAGACGGATTACCCGAAAGACCATTAGAGGGTAGGACACAGAAAGCATCAAGGAAACACTGGTCTGACCAGGAGAGGATGGCAGGAAGTTTGGACAGAATAACTGGAGCCCCAGGTATTTTACCCCCCCACCCCCACCCCCCAAGGCGGGTGCAGACAGCCGTATTCCCAGGCAAGAAAACAAAGACTTAGCCTCTGACAAGTTGATGGGACAGGCTCCAAACTGATAAGCAGTGTGTTGAAAACAGGGATAAGATGAGAGTCTACAGAATGAGTGGTGGAGTCCCTAACTCTGCCCGGCTTCCACAGGACTAGAAGCCAGGGGAAAGAAGTAAAGACAAGAAAAGTTAGATTATAAGCCTTATTCAAAATGCATGTTGATAAATGTAGCATTCCAAGCCGTAACTACAGTCACCCTTCCAGACACCCACTCTAAATGAAAATAGAATGTTACCTGAAAACACTATTCCAAATTTCATACTTCACTTATGTCTTTTCTTGTTCCGATTGAGTTTTCTCTCAGCCAGCTGTCAGTTCCTAGTGAAGGAAATCAAAGCTATTCAGATTTACATAAATATCAATAATTAGTTCCACACATCTCTCTGATTTGGAGTCTAGTTTTTAAATTCCCTGTTAAGACATTCCTATAGTCTTTCTTCAGTTAATTATATTTCATTGATTATGAGTCTGTAAAAGCATCTGGAGAGGAACCTATGCACAGCAAACCTCTGCGTGTGTGTGTGTGTGTGTGTGCAGCCTGCCCTAAAAACAATGCTGGGGGAGGCGGGAGGCCTAGCATTCCCTGCTCTGGCTCCAATACTGTGCAGACCAGAAAGCTGAGGATGCAGGGAAGTGGGAGAATGTTCCCAAAGTCACTGCTCTTACCAGCTTGTTCACTAGGACTATTCCTGTGTCCTTTGTTTTAATGTCTCCTTGCTCCTCAGATAGAGCACCTGCAGAATAGGGTTCTGGATGTAGCACAGCAGTGCCATACAGGTTGAGGGGCTTTATCAGCCATCTAGAGAAGACAGACTTGGCCTTTTCTGTGATTTCTCCCTTTGTCTACCCCAGTAGCTCTCCTCTCTCTTGGAAAGAACTGTTCCTTTCCTTTGAGCTTCTTTCCCTACCTTTTAATAGTATTCATGCACCATCCCATAAAATTAGTTATATGACCATAGAGGGGAAGGGCAGCCAGGGAGACTGGGAATTAACAAATGGGTTTCAACTTGAAATTCAGCCCCTGCACCTTGCCATAGAGAGCCTTTTTTTTTTGTTTTAATGTCTCCTTGCTCCTCAGCTAGAGGTACCTGCAGAATAGGGTTCTGGATGCAATGGGATCAGAGTGGTTCAGAGGAGGCAGCAAGCTGGGTACCAGAGACCTGTGTTCTGTCTCTTTCAGACTTACCAACCCTTTGGGAACCTGCCCCCCAGAGCCTGTTTCCCCGTGTCTACGATGGGGATAATAACTACTTCACAGCAGAAAGTTCCTAATACAACTGCCACTTAAGAATTCAACAAATGTCATTTTCTAAACACGCATCACCAAATATAGGTATGGTCTGGGGTGCTGGGGTCTGATAATGGTTGGCCAAGTTCCCCATTATCAATGGGTTCTCCACCTCCATGGGCATAAGAATCAAGTGCAGAGTTTGTTAAAAATAAGATTCCAGGTTCTACTCCCAGATAGACACTTCCAGGGGGTGTTATCCTCTAAATAACTGAAGAAAATTTGCAGCAAACTCCTCATTTCTCCTTCTAGGTGCACTTCCTATATGCGCAGAAGCCCTGTCTAGACTCCTGCTAGGCTGTCTCGGTCATCACCTTCAGGTGGGCTGAGCCTCAGCTTCCCTGCATAAAACGGTAGAGATGGCTGCCAGGCCTAGAGAGAGGGGCCGGGGGTCCATAGACTTGAGTCAGAATGGACCAGGGACTGGACGTCTCTTGCCCTGCCCCTTCCAGACAGATCTGCAAAAACAGTGATAGGGAGCAGCCCAAGGTGAGGATTTGGCGGCCATCTGCAGGTGGAATGAAGCCAGTCTGCCTGCCACAAATATGCCCCTCCTTAGGCAAGGGAAGGGCAGTCAGCACAAAAGGTGTATATGAGGTTGTCTCAGAAAAGTGTCCCTTCCAGGCACTGACTTGTAAAAAAATCTTTAGAAACTGTCCAAGGGGAAGAGTGCCAGAAAGGTTTGCTGTTTCCTCATCTATACACCCCCCCCCCAAACAGTTGGTGTCTTCCAGTTATTTCAGCTGTCCCCCAGGTCTCCGGAGATGGGGCTCTGGGGCAGTTACACCCCCACCTCACCTAGACACCCCCACCTCTCCTAGACACCACCTCTCCCAGACACCCCCACCTCTCCCATCCTCTCCCAACACACACACACACACACACACACACACACACACACACACACACACACACACCTATACCTCCAAGTGTCAGGGACCAAGGTGAAGGGATTTCCAAGCTCTTGAGGATTCTGTCAGTCCGCGCGGCTTCAGGAATCTGCTCCTTTCCTCCGTTTTTTCGGAGAGAGGGAGGGAGACAGCCCGAGGTGCTGTTGGAGAAGGGCAAAGGAAGGTGACTTGGGCGACAGCGCCGGGGCACCGATGGGGGCGGGGTGCGTGTTTTGTCGCCTCGTCTCTGAGACCAGGCTGGCGGCTGGAGGGCTGAGGCCATCGCCATCCACAAAAAAGGGTTCTGCTCAGAGCTGCTGCGGGGCGGTCCCCGCGCTTGGAGGACGCGGCCCTTCCCTGGGAAATGGCGCGCCAGGGGGGAGGCACCATGGCCCTTTCCTGGGGCAGGTGCACTCATGGACCCTGGTTCTCCGATGAGAGGTCGGGGTCCTGGTGCGAAGGCTGGCGAGCCCAGGAGGCTCCGGGACCCGGCTATCCGCCCGTGTGACTCCCGTTTGCCCAGTGAGAGGCAGCAGCGGCTGGGCAGCCCCCTGCCCGCCCTCAGTGCCAGGCCTGCACCTCCCGCCGCCTCCGGGTCGAGGCACCTGCGGAGACGCGCGGGCGCCGGACCCCGACCCGCGCGCCCCTGCGGCCGTGCGCGCGCCGCTCCCGCTGCGGCGCCGACCCGCGCCCCCGAGGCCCATGCCCGGCCCTCTAAGACCCCCGGCCGGCTGCCCCCTCCGGTCCTCGGCTTGGCCAGGCGAGAACGGGGCGAGCCCCGCGCCTCAGCTGCCGCAAAGCCCGAGACCGAACTGAGGGACCGCAGGAGGCGCGAGAGCGGGAGCGGCGGCGGCCGGGCGGCGCGGGGCAGCGTCTGGAACAGGCCCCTGCTGCCCGCCAGTTCCCGCCCGGCGCCGGCCTCGCTCGTCGGGGCGCTGCGGTGTCAGGGTGCGCGGGAGACGCGGGCTCCCCGGGGCTGCGTGAGGCGGGCAGGGCGCGCGGAGGCCGCGGGGCCCCGAGCTGCGCCCTCGGCGCCCTCCTCCCGGCAGCTGGCGGAGCAAAGCAAAGTTTGCCGAAGTGCCGCGGCTGCACACTGACCTGGGCGCGCTGTCGAGTCGGCCGCGGCGCCCCTCGCCTACACGGCTCCGCTCCCACCCTCCGCGGCGGTGGAGCCCTGCGCCGTCCGGGCTGGGGGTGATCTTCGACCGCTGCCCCGTGGCTCGAGTAGCCGATCCCGGTAGGTGCCACCCGTGCCCGCCCCAGCCAGTCAGGGAGGCGGGTGGAGGCTCCAGCCTCGCGACGTTGGCGCGGGGGCCGAGAGGCGCGCACCTCGCCAGACGCCCGGGCGGCGCGGCGTTTCCGCTAGGAGTGACGCGCCGGCTCCCCGCGGCGCTGCAGGTGGGGGCGGCGGGGCCAGGCTGGTCCTCGAAGCTCTGCCTTCTGCCCCCAAAAGTGCGCCCCCCCCATCACCGCATCTTGGCCCAGGCGACTTGGTCCACCGCACCTTGGCCCAGGCGACGTGGCAGGGACTTCCTCTTTGCTGGGAGAGGGTCGCCCCTATTTTATGACCCCTGGCTCCCCCTGCCCATAACTGCACGCCCCCCCCCCCGCCATTTCATACCTCCCCCCATTTCATACCCATCGGACTGGTCTAAATGTCTGGCATTCACGGGTCCCTCTTCCCACTTCCTACCCCTGAATCACTTTAGGCACGGTTTGGGGTGTTAGTGGGGGTAACCGTTGTTTTTTAAGTTAATAACTATTTATTGCACTATTATTAAATAGTATAATGTTATTACCCTTTTACAAAATTTCACAAAAATATATGTCATGTGTTAAATTCCACTGAGGGATAGAGAGAGATGACCTTAAGCAAAGGCAGTGGTTTTTAACTCAGGGGCCATTTGATGGAGAAGACAGTGACTAATTTTTCAAATGTCAGTCAAAACTAGTTTGTGGTTTTGAGTCCTCAAAAGGTTTAGAAAATAGATTTATCCCTGGATACTTTATTTACAAGGGAAAAGCCACCAAATTGGACCATAGTAAATGGATTTAAAAAAGTAAAATCACACACTTTAACCCAGAATTGTGTCTCCAGACATCTGGCATCCTGGACCTGGGTTGGCCACACACTTTTGTTTGGAGGAGTTTGGAAGTTCCCCGGGACTGATATAGCAAATTTGACTGAAAGCCCAGATCTTTTCCCTATTAAATAAAAAGGATAGGCCCTCCCTGGTGGCACAGCGGGTTAAAGCACAGCACTAAGCAACCTAAGCCACTTCAACATGAGTTGGATCCTCACGTGCCCCGATCCACAAGGCACCGGCAGACCTCTCCTGGCCCCCCGCTGCTTCCCTCAGCAGTGCACTTCTTCAGTCCTGTTCTGCTTCCCACTCTGTCTCTGCTGAAGCCTCTCACCGTCCCTGCACCTCTGGCCTCTACCACAGTTCTGTATGCATCAATAAATAAATATTTTTTTAAAAGGATTTATTGATGTATACTATATGTAAGTTCAATGATTCCATACAAATTAATGTATTTCTCCTTAAAGAAGAAAGGACATATAGTAATTGCCCCTGTTTACCTGTGAGATCAGGGTTCCAGGAGACTCCAGTGATCCCAGGAATGGAACCAGGAACAGAACAAGCTCCCCAGAACCTCCTGCTGTCCTTGTGCTGTTCCCCTGCCTGTGGGTGGAATTCACTAAGACTTGAGGTGATGGAACTGAAGAGGCAGAACTGCCCCAAGGAGGGCAAATCAGATGGATTCATCATACCTTTTGGGTGATAAAATGAGCTTACCTAGAACATGAGACTTCCTGTCCTCATGATTTTATGCCACTAAAAGTATATTTTAGAGGAGTCGAAGGAACAAGTAAAAGTAGATGCATGTTTGATAAGCATTTTGGTGAGGAATTCCATCTACTTTCTGTCTTCTAGAAATAAGCTGAAAACTTTGGTCTGCTGATGGAACCCCTCCAGTTCTCTTCAAAATTACAATGATGTGTGCCAGAGTAGCCGTGGTACATGGGTGTCATGATGAGGTAGGTTCTGAAAGCCTGAGGTCTGGGGGCCTCTGGCTTGGCAGCTCTGACCTCTCCCCTCCTGGGACCTGCTGAGCTGTTCCTGGTGGTCTACAGGAGGTCTTGCCTGCTGGCTTTGTTGCTCTTGGCTCCTTGGCATCTTTCAAATACAGGACAATACTCCTTTCAGCTCTTGAGACGCAAGTAGGTATTTTAAGGCTTTAGTGGATAGTGATTTTTTTTTTTTTTTTTTTTTTTTTTTTGGTGTGGAAGAGTTTTGTTTAGAACAGGAAAGGCTATAGAAAAAGATTCAATGTTTAAACTTCTTGCATGTTAGGCGAAACTGTTTTGCTTCCTGTATGGATAAATTTCTTCCTCCTGGTTCCTTTCTTTCCACTCCATGTTTCTTGTTCTCCACAGTCTTAGTGTAAATAAAGGCTGAACTCTTCTACATTTTCTTTAACAGCTTAGAGTGGTGATCAGCTAGTTTCAAGTTGACAGCAGTTTTCTGATTTAGCTTTCGGAGAAAGATGGCTTTCCTGTTCTGGGAAGGAAAACAAATCTTTTTAATGTACTAAGAAGATGGGAAGTGAGGGCTAACGGCTCTAGAGTCCATGCTTAAAGTCCATGAGCCTTAGACATAGATATACTCAGTCTTTTCAAAACGCCAACTGTCCTCACACAGGTCCCTCACACGACATGCCCTTCTAGAAAGGAAGCAGAAAAAGTTGCCATAAAAGAAGCTTCATGATAGTCTTTGAATATTGTCAGAGGAAAATAAAATATACTTTACTTTCAAACAGTGATGCTTAGGCCAGCCAGTCCTTCCCCAAGGGTAGGAGCTGGGTCTCTGTATATACTCCCTACCAGAGCAGATGAATATTTAATATAACTCTTTTGGTTGAAAACTGAATCTTTCATAGCTGAGAGGGACCTCTGGCAAAAATGGCAATGACTAAAGTTACTTTGCAAAGATGTCAGAGTGCCAGGAAGCCTGGATCCCTGAATGACTGCATGGTACAGAGCTGCCCACTGACCTGAAACTCCTGCCCTACCCTGCTATATGAGAAAGAAAATTATTTCCAATTTGTTTGAGTCACTGCATTTTGGGACTTATGCATTCTAACTTTTTATCTTAACCAATACAACTACTTTTATAATTTAAACCACTATCATTTAAAAACATTTTCTTATAAAAGTATTTCTAGAAGGATATTTATTTAGTTTATTTTTAATTTTTTGATTGTCCTAATTTTTTTGTTAGGTAAGACTTTTACAAACATTACTTATTATTAGGGGCGACAGCGGAGCTGAAGAATCTTGTGCCATGTCTACCATGCACTTCAAGAACTCCACCTGTGTGGGGTAGGTCTTTTCCAAGATCTCAGCTTTTGGCCTGTAGCTGTTGGCTTCCACTTTTCCTTTACTTGTGGACTGATTTGTGATCCACTGGGGACCAGGGTTTCTTCTGAGAGCCTTATGGCATGGGTCAATGAGGGTAATCCGAAAGAATTGTACAAGGATTCTTCACTGACCCAATAAGAGTTCAGGACTCTCAGAGCCAGCTCTCTGTCCAGCAAGATTTAGTGCAAATTTGAGCTGGCCAATGCCGTGAGGTCAGATGCATTTTTAGGAACTGGATTCTTGCCAGATGGAAAAGAAAGAATCTTTTTATTTATTTATTTATTTGAAAAGATTTATTTATTTATGTGAACAGCACTGGGGTACAGGCCAGAGGCTCAGGGACGGTGAGAGGCTTCACCAGAGACAGAGTGGGGAGCAGAACAGGCAGATCGAACGAAGTACACTGCTGAGGGGAGCAGCGGGCGGGCCAGGAGAGGTCTGGCTCGCCATGTGGTCTCCTCCGGGGCAGGCGGCAGGCGGGAATCGAACTCATGCGGAAGTGGCTTCAGATTCTCAGTGCTGTGCTTTAACCCGCTGCGCCACCAGGGAGGGCCAAAAGAATCTTTTTATTTTTTAGAATATCTGAAGAGCTTATCGATCAAATATGTTTATTTTTATTGATGTAACATAGTGTTGGAACATTTACATTTCATGTGGGTATCATTAGGAATCAACTTCTATATATATACCATGTTACATTCACCACTATGAGTCCAATTCTGGAATTTATTACTTATAAGCTACCTGTGGAGAGGGGATCTGAGAGGTTGATGAATAGTGGTGGGGGTGATATACCTTTGTTTTGTTTTCATCCACATCTTTTTATAATTTTTGAAATAAACATGTAATTCTCAAAATATTAAAATAAAAGTTAACTAATTAGAAGTGTTGATATTACACCATTGTAGCTTGGATTTATCCATTACTGATTGGCACTCAGCCTGCATTTGAATCCACTAATTCCATGCCAGGGAAAGGAGGGGGAAGGTAGGTGATGGCTCAGGCTGGCAGAAAGGAGCAGAAGGGTGAATTCCTGCATGGTAGGTGGGCTGCAGTCTCTGCCTAAGACAACTTTGCTGGGGCACCAGCAAAGGCCTCGCCTCAGTCAGATTGTGCAGTCAGCTTGAAGGGGGTGATCACTGAATGCAGATTAGCATCACTTCCATTTCCTGAGCATTCTGGCTTCTGAGACGGTGTCTTTAATAACAGGCACTCCAAAGGAATCACCTGAAATTTTGGTTGGGTGAGCAATGTGGAATTTGATAACCAACTGAAGGAGCATTCCACTTTTATCTTTGCAACTTAAGTTGATTTTTCCTGCTTCTTATCGTTTAAATTGGTATGAAAGGGTAATTTATTTTCCTATTCTTGATTACCAACAACACTCACACTTCAAGTTAAAAGGAAAGGCAGAGTGTAATTTGAGTAAGTTTTTCTTCAAGGACAACATAGAGGTTTCTTATTTAATATGGAGAAAGGGAAGGCATTGTGTTGTTGATTGGTCAGAGTTTTCCTATAACCTAATGTGTAATGAAAATTATCATTTTATTCTTGCTTCACATTTTCTTGTGCCATCCATTGGTTTCTTTGACTAACTTTGGCCCCTGGGGAAACATTGACTCTCTTTGCACTGGGGTGCACTGGTGGCATTTTCCTCTTTAGGGTTCTTTGAACTCAATGTATTTTCCCAGAAGATCTTGTCAGGTGAAATGTTTGGTGAAATAGTAACAGAAAAAAGAATGCAAAAAGCCTTAGAAAATATAACTTTTCAATGGTTTG